CACTAATAAAGCAAAATGATCTGCAGGATCAGTTTTGTGTATTTTTATTCTTATCCTTATGATGAGACAGAGTTATAAATTATCTAAGCTTTTAGTAAAGTGCTTGGACCTGCTTTTTTGGATGATTTTTAATTAAAAAGCGTATCTTTTACTGAATCCTTTTTGTAATCGACTTAACACCCATATTTCATATGCTTGAATGTTTTTTTCCTACATAGAACCACATGTGACACTAGTTTACAGTTACCGTATTTTCACGACTATAAGGCGCACTTAAACGTCTTTTTTTCCCCTCAAAATGTGCGGTGCGCCCTTTGGTGCAGTGCGCCCTATGTGTGTTATAACTGCGACTTTTGAGACCACCTCATTGAGGAGATGTTGAAAGAGTGGCTGAATGTAAGGAGACCAGGTGTTTTTTTTTCCACCCCTCACCATCGCTGTTAATATGTAACTCCATGCGTGCCCATCTCACAGCTGATGTGAAAAACATGGGGAAACAAATTAACGCTGTGCTCGCTGTTCAACCGCTCGACATCGGTGTGAACCGGACCCAGCAGGTGCAGCAGAAGCAGCGAGTTCACATGCAAAGTCAATGGTTGACGCGCGTATAGATGCAGCAAAAGGTCCCGCAGCCTTTAAGCATCTGACGCACCGCCAACGCGCTGCTGCTGCTCGAGATGGAAAAATTGAAGTTTTGCTGCTGGACGCGCCGCATCAACCAATCAGAGAAGCTGATCTGGGAGCTGACAGCGAGACAGACACATCGCTCTGATGACATATGATATTAACGCAAAGAAAAGGGCTGGATGGATGAGGAGATGATGAAAGCGTGGCTGAGGCAGGTGTATGTGAGGAGAACAGGTGTTTTTTTCCACGCATCACCATCGCAGTTAATCTGTGACTCCATGCGTGCCCATCTCACAGCTGATGAGAAAAACATGGTGAATCAAATGAACGCTGTGCTCGCCGTTATCTCGGGGGTCTGACAAAGGAACTTCAACCGCTCGACATCGGTGTCTAGCGGCCGTTCAAAGTAAGGCTGCGAGCGGCGTGGGAGCGATGGATGACAGACGGAGACCACAGTTTAACAAAAAGTGGAAGGCAGCGCCGGGCAAGTTACGCCACCGTTTGCGGATGGATTGTTGATGCTTGGACTAACGTGTCTGCTGGCTCTGTTGTTCAAGCTTTCGCAAAAGCCGGCATTATTTCTGAGGAGCCGCACGGCACGGAAAGTGACTCTGACAGCGAAGATGGGAAACTGGCATGTCTGATTCAGCGCAGCTGTTTAATTCAGAAACAGAGGATGATGACTTTGATGGGTTTGATTACTACTCTGTAATAAATACATGAATAAAGCACAATCATACTCAGTTATGCTCCCGCTCTATTTTTCTACCTGAAAACTTAATTCAACAGCAGCCTCTGGGCGGGTCTCCTCCTCTTCACCGCGGCGGCTGGCAGGTGTTTTTTTCATCTAAATAATCTAAATCTTGCAGCTATATTTGCTGCTATCAGTGGGAATAAAGTAGTTTTAATATGTTTTTAAGTGAGAAAGTCCACCTGGAAACTTCATAATTGCAGTCAGTTCATCCAGATTATCTATTTCTGTCGGAGGCGTTCAGACCCCCACATACCAGCGGTGCACCGACAGTAGAAATCCCTTCATCAGCAGCCTCTAGGCTGGGGAGCCTCCGGGTTCACCGCGGCTGCTGGCAGGTGTTTTTCATCTAAATAATTTTAGCTGCAGGCACCAGGATACCGGTAATAAAAGCGAACAAATTCCGTTGGCAGGTTTCAGGATTTTAAGTTAATTTAGGAGTAATCACAGCGCTGTGTCATCTGCGATGTGTCTGTCTCATGGCCAGCACCCAGGTTTGATTAATAGTTTGTAATAAATACATGAATAAAGCACAGTCATACTCAGTTTTGCCCCCGCTGTATTTTTAAATACGCAGTAGAGGTATTTAAAGGTAGTAGAGGACATGTACCTGTATATAAAAAACGCGCCCTATAGTCCGGTGTGCCTTATGTGTGTGTTAAATACAGAAATGGGACACATAACTGAGAGTGCGCCTTTTAGTACGGTGCGCCTTATGGTCGTGAAAATACGGTACCTTCTCTAATAAGGAAAGTATCTATAGATCAGTGCTTCTATGTTCCTTTTGTATGTGAATTCTCCACAATTTTCCCATTGTGGGAAAATAAAGGGATTTTCTATTTTCTATTCTATGTCTGCTTCTCTTTCCTTGGGGGAGTGTTGACCTAGTGGTTAGAGCAATGCTTTTACTTGTGCTCTGAGAAGGTTGCAAGTACCTGGTTTGATTCCCACGCCCTCTACTCCATATCTCTGAGTAAGACTCTTAACCCCCACACTGCTCCACGGGCGCCACACAATGGCAGTCCACTGCTCCCCAAGGGGGTGGGTTCAATGCAGAGTTACATTTCTCAAATGTGAGATCAATAACGTTCAATTATTTCTATTTTGAACCTCAGGTGGCCTCGGCAGATGGCCGCTCAATTTGAGCCTGGTTCTGCTGGAGGTTTATACCTCTGAAAAGGGAGTTTTTCTTCTCCACTGTTGCTACATGCATGCTTAGTGTGAGGGATTGCTGTAGAGTCAACAAAAAAATCCAAGCGAATTAAGTCCCCACAAGCTCATCCATGAGGGCTGCATCCTGCAAGTCAAGGACTCAATATATGTTGGTTTTTCTCAGATACAAAATGTTTACCAATGACTGTATGACGTGGTTGAATTGTCTGTGTAGTGTGTTAAGGTTTCATATGTTGTGAATTATGACAAAATAAATACAGTGAATTGAATTCAATCCAATGCATCTGTGATGACTTTCTGATTAGTTGCACCTGGCATGGAGGGATGTTAAAGGCTCGAGTTCTCAGGTCCACTCTCTGCCACTGATCAACGAGGGGCAGCACCAGCACTATCCCGGGGCCTTTTGGAGGACAAACCCGACCCAGACGAAACACAACTATCCTCTGGTAGTTTGGAACAGTCTGTAAAAAGTATTAAACAGATTTAACTGATATCAAGTGGGTTAAGATGTTTGTTGATCAGTGTTAAAGGGAAACCCTACCTTTAGGACAAACCATCCTGTTACTGGGAAGGTTATGAAGGTAAATATGTAAACAAGGAAAATCACAATCAGGTTGCAGAGCCAAGACAGCCATCCCTGAGAGGCATCTAAAACACAAACATCATCAGAAACTCTTTACACTGTAATAACAACTGAATACTGCACCTTCACTGTTATCATACTCTAAAAATATATATATATACACATATGGCGGCTAATATTAGCTGATAACTAACCAGTAAAGTTGTTTGCAGATATATTTGGGATATAATCAAACGAAAGTCCTTTGTGGAAGCTTGGCTTTGAAAAGCTGTGAAAGTCACCAAACAAACCAGGGGTCTTCTGGGAACCTGAGTCCCTCTGAGGAAGCGGCTGATACGACCTACCGAACATCCTTCCGGTTTATACAGCTTAATTTACCTTTAAAGTGGCATATAATACCAGATGTTTTAGCTGCTAAGCAGCTAATTGTTTGGGGAGGATCAGCAGGCTTTAGTAGAATTAGCTTAGCACTTTAAAATGGCTAGCTTCATATCAGCTTCTCTTCCTGGAGTTAACGGTGGTACTGATCGGGATACGCTGCTCACCACCGCCCCCTACTGTTCATGTTGATGAATTGAACTTTTTCCACCGAGGGGGAAAAAAAGGGATTATTTGTTTGCTGCACCAATTGATTCTGTAGCATTTTTAAGTTTTTCAGTTTAGTTCCAGAAAAATAATTTAATAATTGAATTTAGTTTCAAAGAAAAATCATTTTAAGACCAATAAAATACCCTGATTACATTAAAGACACTTGTTTTCTTGAATTACATTCATTTATCCCAGAAGTTGCTTCTTTTTTGTGACTGCTGGTAAAGTATTTTTCATCCCTTTTGACCTTTTCCACATTTATTCTTGTGAAACAGATGTGAGAAACTAATGTAAGATAACGCATACATATGGAGTGGAAGAAAAATTATTCACATTTGATCTTCAAATAGAAATTAAAAAACATTTAGCCCAGGTATGTTCTAAATCGATCCTCAAGGGCTGCTGTCCAGCAGGTTTTAGAGGTGTATCTGCTTCAGCACTGCTGATCTGCATTGGTAGCTGATTAAAAGGCTTATGTTAAACTGTAATCATCAGAATCTGCGGAGCATTTTGCTGCAACTCTAGTGCGTCTGTCTTCCAGTGTTGTATATTTACAAATAAAATAGTCTTTTAATTCCTTTTTGTGAACATATTCGGCCTGGATTAAGAAAATTTGTGAGCCTCAGATTTTTAGTATGACCTAATCTACTAGGGCTGTAGCTGTGGGCTATATTCAGGGCTGTTGTTGTGCTTAATGTTAATCCTCCAATCTGGTCTCAAAACATTGCAGCGACTACCAACTTTTCCCCCATTATTAGCCTGTATTAGCTCAATCCATCATCTCCCCCATTCCTGCTGAGAAAATAATACCACCATACCAACATTTTACACCAGTGACATGGTGTATTCAAGGGGATGTGTAGTTTTAACTTTCCTTCACCCACAGACTTTTGAGCATTAGCTGGAAATCTCAACTTATACAAATATTTCCTTCTTCTACATGTTTTCTTTCTTTTGGCTTGTGTCACACTAAAAACAAAATGTATTTTATCTTCATTTAAGTGTTATTCCTCTATCCAGACTGTAATAAAAGCCCATATTTTTGGAGTACATAAGTTATTTACACTGTTCAAATGCAAACATTCAGGGCTTAGACTAAAATGTGAAATCATCTGCGATGGATAGAGTATTTGTCCACCAAAGTGGTCTAAGAAATAAAATCTATCAAAATTACCAGCACTATATTTGGAAATATATGGGCCCTTATACACAAAAAAAACCACAGTAGATTGCAAGTGTATTACATATCAAGTTTTTTACACCTTGTCCATTTGAAAAATGACCAATTGTACAGATTTTTATTTTCTTCGTCATTGAACTACACAAACAAATAGAACCCAAAGAGCTTTTTATAGTTACTTTATATCAAAAAGGAAGTTATAGGTGGACTATGACATCATGTTTTCAAATTGTTCTATATTGGCCAAATTTGTATGGACTTAAAAAATTAGCTAGCTTAATGTTGTTTCATTAAAAGCAAAACAAAAAGATCCTTTATGCCTCAGACCCTCCCCTATAGTCTTATGTTTTGATCGAGGTTGCCCTTTTTGTAAAATTGCAAGGTTATAATTCCTTTGTGTTCAATAAAACACAAAAAACTCTCCTTATGTTTGGAGAATTAAGGAAAATAAACACCACATTTTACATTTTATTGAAGGAAAAGTTATTCACAAATACATGCTATGAAAAAAAGACATTCTTTTGCCACGGAAAGCTTGAGTTAGTCTGAAGTATCCTGAAGTTAAACTGATAGTAGAGTATAAAGTGGTATTTATGTGCATGATGGAACAAATCAGGATATTTACAAAACATTTTAAAATTTTACTGTCACAAAAATAAACAAGAGCCTTTCTGAAAGATTCCTGAAATAAGTTACTAAAAGAGCTAGATACTCATGTTGAAAATTATCTAGATGACATAAAATTTTACTGCTAAGACATAGAAGGATTCCACAGGAATGTGAATAAAATGAGTGTTAGAGAATCTTCTGTTGATGCTTGCTCAGTTTTTGAACATATCACACAGCAGCTTCTCCATGGGTGTGTTGCCTATTGTGCTGTGGAAGAACAGCCGCTCGACTTTACTTGGACTCACAAAACGAAGAGACGGCAACAGAAGTAAGAGCCTCCCAAACCTTGTAGAGCAAGAAAAAAGATGGGTTATTTAATCATTTATCTTTGAAGAAAAAAAAAATAATAATAAATATATATATATATATATATATATATATATATATATATATATATATATATATATATATATATATATATATATATATATATATATATATATATATATATATTTATATATTTATATATTTATATATTTAAATATATATAACTTTTTAAAATATAAAAAAGCTGCTGTGGCACCTTGCAGCCTGACTGGGATACACCGACTGAATGTGCTGACCCAATAACAAGTGAGACTGGTCCTGTAGATCTTCAACCTGTCCAGAGTCTTTGAGGCTGCGTGTCTCTATGGCAGGGAGACAAGAAGGAAACATCAGTTAAATAATCGTGCAACTGTAATACAAGGTTTATATTATTTTTTTTGTTTCAGTTTTTTTGTACCTGGCTTGAACAAAACTATTGCTTTCAGACATGCAAATTCCGTAGGATCGACAACCAAAGTCTTGAAACGATTGAATACATCTTCAAGAATCTGCAGCTCAGACGAAGCAATTTTGGTCTTTGCTTCATTAGAGGGAGAAAGTTCTGGAGACATAATTAAACATCTGTCCATTGGAAGTGACATCTGGATGGCACACAGAAGGAACATCTCACTCCAAGCTTCCTCCAGAAGAATAACCTTAAGATGTTGAATATATATATGATATTAGAATAGGACAATACTTTGCCAAAACCTACAGTTTGTTAGTCAGCCTTACCTGGTCCCGAAATGGCAATTGAGCAAACACTGCCAAATTCTTTGCCCACTTCACAGACATGAAAAGGAGTCGAGCTGATGTCTCATAGAAGCTCTCTGAAGGGCCGGAGGTGTATGTGAGCCTGCTGCAGTCTGATGAAGAGCTGTCATTCTCTGCATCGTTTGTCGTTACATCAATATTTTCCTCATCTATACATTGTAAAGAAAAATCAATGAAAAATTAATCTGCTAATTGCTAAGATTGGGACACTTAAAAATCCCTCTCATAAGTAAGAACTTACCGTCCTCTGGATCTAGCTTGGTACAAGTCTCTGCAGTCAGTAGGCGGACCATAAAGCGGTGGGTATTTTGGTTGCTGTGGGGCCGTATAGATGCAGAACCGGTTGCAGACAATGTTACTGGAGGCCTAAACCTAACAGATGAGTAGCAGTCAGAAGTGATGAGCCCCTGTGTGGTAGCTAGATCTTCTTTCTTTGCCTCCATATTTATGGAGTCAAAACTAATATGTGCTGTGCTTCGAGGCTGAAGCTCATTCTGCACCGCTGCCAATGGAAAAATGCAAAATATATTGCTTTAACAGAAGTAAAAAAAAAAAAAAGTACCATCAACTAAATCAAGTTATTCACACCATCTTTGTTCATTCCAGCTTGGAGACACTTTTTTAGTCGGCAAGCCTGGCACTGGTTCCGGTGAGCTTTGTCAACGGGACATCTGCCTGTCCCAGCCTGACACCTGTGATGTTAAACACACACACACACAAAAAAGCTCACTATGAAACTGGTTGATTTACAGCAGATTTTATACTGGGTGTATTTGAACTTATTTAGGAGCAATTCTGAAATGTATTCCAGGTTCCCTTGCCTACCTGTAGATGAGTCTTCGTCGAACGCTACGTTTAAAGAAGCCGCTGCAGCCATTGCAAGCATAAATGCCATAGTGTTTGCCAATGCTTGAATCAGAGCACACTTTGCAAAGCAAGACCTGACCAAAAGCTTTTAGAGGACTTTTATCTGTGCAGAATTAAAGACAAAAAGGAAGAGACTTTAAACAAATGCTCAAACTACCAAAACTTTACATTTTATAACATTTTCTTAAAAATAGTTATGAACTGCTGTGGCAACCACTAATTATAACAATGGGCAATTATATAATAGCTGATATCATGTGCTAATAATCCAGCATCTAAATTGATAAAGCAGATCGCCTACAGCCAACAACCAAATAACATTTTTGCAGAGTCTAATAAGTTATTTTGTTATTTGTAACACATCATAAAATCCTTTGCAACAGATTCTTATACATTAGATACATTTTAAGTTAATCTTTGATGAAGGAAGCAAGTGTTGTATAGTATCCATCCTTTAGGGATAAGTATGAGCATTAGGTCAATTAAAATACCTGTTTTGGATAAGCACATAAGATACAATTCTTTTTTATATATTTTATTTCCAAGAAAGGCTCTCATTTTTTTGTATAATACAATTATTTCTGAATTTTATTTTTTATTCAAACTCAATAAGCATTATTGTAATTTTTGACTTAACAACCTTAATGCATTATGGCAAGCCACTGTTTTATTGACATTATCAAATTAAGATTGAAAAATCACATTTTCTTAAATAAAACTAGATAATCCCTTTATTTTTAGGTCAATAAGGAACGACTAAAAATATATATACCTATTACTGTAGCTAAATATTAGAATAATGAGTGCTCATAGAAACACTTGTATTAAATTCTTCATACAACAGTTTATATCATAACATCAATTTGGCTTTAAACAATTTGGGAAGGCCAGACGATGTCCTGTTTATGCAAGCTTATAAAAAATCCCTTTGTTGTGCCATGATGGAGAAATTCTGGTGTTTACAGCAGCATAAGATTATAGAAAAAAAATGGTCATACTAATGTGTTTCAGAAAAGTGTATAAGAATAACATAAAAGTGTATTAGAATAACATAATGATGAAGAGTTAAAAATAAATAAAATACAAAGAAAAGCAGAAGAAATGTGTGTAAGCAGAGCGACCTATACTCCTCATTCAGTAAAACCATTTCTGCTGTGAGGAATGGGGCAAATTTTGTGAGAAGGATCACCCAAAAAATTGACCCCAGTTCTTCAGTTTAAAAAGACAGTTTTTAAACTGTCTTTTTTTTTTAAACTGTCTTTTTTGCATACAGTTTCACCAACTGTATGGAAACTTAAAAATTTTAAGTATATTTTAAAACATAATCTTTCTGGGAATTTAGTGAATACACTGTATTATCTATTTTGTAGGGAAACTTCTTAAAAGAATGTAATGAATTGTTTGGCCTTTGGGTATTCAGGACATATGTTGTATTTTTATCAGCTAAGAAAAACATCAGACTTCAGCTACAACTCATAAACTGCTTCATGTATGCTGGACGTTATTCTCAACATTATGCATTTTGCATCTTAATTTGATTGCATTTTATGAAGCAGAATTAAAACAACGCTTACTTACCTTCTTGAATTACATCCAGTTTTTGTTGCGTCACATTGCTGGAGCCAGTTGGTGAAAAATAGTCAATTTTAATCGCCTGGTCTTCCATTAATATTAAAACTAAATGTTTTCCAGGAAGAATACGCAAATAAAAAAAAATGTATTTACAAAAGGCCTGAATATGTTATATAGCAAAACTGCATCCAAGAAATACAGCTTGACGTGTCTGATGTAATGTATGGTCAATGAATTATCTCTCAGAGTGACTTAGAGCTTGAGTAGTCGGATGGCTTTCATGAGGAAGACAAGAAGATTAACACCAGTTGCTGTGTAAGCAAATAGCAATGCTTTATCCTCTTAATCTTTACTGTGCTAAAGATTGGTGTGGCCTTCACAAGGTATTCAATAGTGGTGACCCCACATCAGTGGGTAGTACAACAAGTTACTGAAGAAACACTGAAAAATCTTCTCTTGAGGCACAGCTTACTACTGTATCTTTTTTTGGAAACCAGGAAATTTTTCTGATATTGAACATAGATGGAAAATCTAATATTTCCAAAGCTTTTTTGTCAAAAGTTTGTCAAGGCAGGATCTAACTATTAAATGTGAGTGAACATTAAATAAAACACAGAATTTAACATTAAACTGAAAGACAGACAAAAAAAATAAGAGCTTGATAACATTATATAGATGACTTAACTAACACTGCTGTAAAAACATGAAAGTTGTAGTCCTTAACACTTAGATTTTGGAAAGAGAGGTTCATTTTCCTATCAGGATGATTATCCTGTCATTTTCAGCTACTAATGGGTTTTCTTATAAGTTTTCCCTGCATTTAGTTCCCTCCATCTTCTATTAAACAATAACTTTTCCTATCCTTGCTAAAGATAATCATTCAAACAACATGATGCTGCCTCCACTGTGCTCCATCCTGAGGATGAATTATTCAGTGTTGTGAAGAGTGTTAGCTTTCTGCCACATGGGTTTTGCATGTCGAGCAAAACGTTTGGTCATTTGGTCTCATCTGACCTGAGAAGAAATGTCTTCAGCTTACATGAAATATGTATTAGTTACATAATAACTAATATTAGACTACACCTAATATTTCATTATACAGTAAATCTTAAAGTCTCTTGTTAATAAAAAGGTTTATACAACCAAAGAGTCAATCAGACGTATTATTCTGCAATTAAATTAAGAACTTATAAACTAAAGTGTCAGGATTGCCATTTATGACAAATAGGTGTATGTGGGTGTGTGTTTCAGAATAACAGTGTGGTTGTAACCATGCAGCTTTGCAAATTCCTTTTTGTTATGAGGGTGGTTAGTTGAAAAAAATCCTCTCTATGCACAGTCAATGTCTGGGTACATCTGAATAGTGCAAAGCTATAAGAAGACTTAACCAAAAGCAAAAGTGTGTCAGTGGTCTCCATGATAAGTGCTGACCATTAGAAACTGCACTAAGAAAGGAGGTAGGAAGAGAAAGTAGTATGCTGCTTTTTGATAATTTACCATAAGGATCTCCAGATATTCCTATCTGCCACATAGGATACATATATGGTTTCCCACAATCCTTTGCATGACAGGATGTATGTGCAAAGCCCACTTAATTGATTTTTAACACAAAAATCATTCAGAAAATAGTTCATTTTAGTTCCAGGTTAAGAGATGTTTCCTTCACATATTTTTTTCCCCCATAAAACAAGGTAAACTTTATTACAATCCTGCAGCTCTGACTATACAGTAATAGAATCTCTAGCCTGTACTTCCCTAATTTTCTAACCAATCCAGCTGCTGGCAGAAGAAAGATGCTGCAACCATCAGCAAAGATCTGCTTTGAGGTTTAACTGCCAAGGATAGCTGTCACGTTCCTACACACCTGAGCCTTGTGACTCTTATCTAGATACGTGTCAATCATCTTTAGCAGCGTGCCACCACGAGCCAAGCGATTATGTATTTAGTGGAAACTTTTATCACAACAAATTACTGCAGGTGATTCAACACACGTCACTGGAAAAAAATAAATTGCTCAATCACTTGTTCATCATTTGTTACTCCCTGTATTAAAATGCAAACAATTCTTTATAGGGTTTTAAAAAGTTAAGGCTTCCTAAACATTGTAAGCCTAAAGCAAAACCCTTCATATTAGTATAGCATAGCAGAAATGATATGCAAGACATAACTGTATCGTCCTTCAGAAGGAGTCCTTGAATGGCAGTTTGCATCAATAAGAAGCTTTTCAATATAATCTCTTTCCAACTTTTGTTAAAGAGTGATCCTTACTTTTTACCTTTCTCTTTATAAACACAGTGCAGATGTATTTCAGGCTGCATAGGTATGATACACATTTTTAACTGAATGTTATGTGAAACTTTAGAAAATTTAAAAATCCAAGGTAATTGTTTTTCTGTACGAAATAAGATGATACATTTGTGCTCAGGGTATTCTGATTTCCACCCAAACATCATCAACAAACCTCATCCCTTCTCCAAAACAGATAAAAGAGAAGGGCTGAGAAGTCAGCATTCTGGCTTATAGGGATTGCCTTCCCTTGTAATCTGCTGCCATTTATTGTAATCCACATGACAACTAAATCAATGAACAGTCACTACAAAACCTTATCACTGCAGCTGAAAGTTTAAAAAGAAAAAGAATTCTCCACCTTGCTTAAATCTGTTTCTGGTGCTTCCTCTCTTATAAACACTTGCATTACCCCAGATTTCCCCTTTATTTAGTCGTCTAATATAATTCTCATCTAATCCACTTATTTACATGCTTATCCTGTGAATCATTTTTTGTTACAGTTGTATGAAAAATGCTCTATAAAAGAGCTCTGATAAATAGAAGGTTTCTTTTTTTTAAAGTTTAGCTAATTCTTTGACAAATAATTTGAAAAAAGTTGGACTTAAATGTTTAATGTATTACATATACTATTTATTCCATCATCTAAACTTTCCCGTTTTATCCTTTAAAAACAGATATTTTAAATAAGCTAAAACATAATTGAATTTAAATTGAAACAACACAATGGAGAAAACAAATACTACATGCTTTGCACACAAATTATTTTATTATAGCTTAAGACAAAAACTTAGCATATTTCACAGCAAAGTAAAATTAAAGCTAAAAGATTCCTGAGAACAGATGAATATTTGCAATTTTGAATCTCTGCGTGTTAAAAGATGTTTCAAATCATCCTCAAACACTTTGATACTCATGTTTGCAGTAGCCCACATATAGAGGCTCAACTTGGATCCCACGCCTAAAGAGGAAGCAAGGCAGAAACAAGAGAATGTAATATGCAGGTTTTATAAAATTCACAACCATGACTTGTTAAGGGGAGCCAATATTAAGTGGTATAAAAGCTGAAGAGATGATGAAATACCTCAGCAGCTTGCATCGAAATTCCTGCAGTCGTGGAAACGCTCTGTCCACACTGAAGGTCTGCTTCTCGTTGCTCCACAGTCTCTCAGCAGCAGCACTTGCTCTTGGCCTGTTCATTTCAATGTTTTAAAACAGAGTTAAAGAAGCAAGCCAGCAAGAAAAAATGTATATTATTTTAACTTTAGGAGATATTGGGTGTTAGATACCAAAGACGTGGGGAAAGGTTGGTTGCATCTACATATTCCCCCCACAAGCAGACCTCTCCTCCGATCACCAGCTGCTTCTGCTTTTCAGAACCTGTCCAGACACAAAAAGGCTAAATACATCATTAAGGTTAATGTACTGGTATCATATAAAGCTAAGCTTTAATGCCAAAGAAATACTGCATTAATCTTTTTATTATGCTATTTGAATTAGTTTCTATTTGAAGGCCCTACATCTGAACTAGAATGGACAGAAAAAATATAAATATTAAGTGTTTTATCTGTCAATATGGCTCCTTGTGTTAATAGAATAACCCTCCATTGTCCCACTCTGAGGAAATTCAATGAGAGATTTTAGTGAGACAATAACAAAGTTAGTAACCTTTATAAAAAAAAAAAAGTATATTTAAATATACATATGTGACCTGAACTATATATGTCAGGAATGATACCTAATTGGTAAAATGGGCAATTCAGGTCTAGAATTTAGAGTTCAGATCCCATCATCATACCATAGGGTACAATGCAAGAATTTTCTTTACCATTCATTTTTAATATTTGTCACATTATAATCAAACTTTTTTTATTTGGGTTGTATGTGATAGAAGAAAACAAAGGAGTGTATAGTGGCAAAGTGAAATTTAAATGTTTTTTGCAATATTTTTTCTAAAGAACCCAATCATAAAACTCTTAACAAGTTTCCTACACATTTGTGTTTAACCCCTTTTACTATCAAACCCCTAAATTAAGTCCAGTCCAACCATTTGACTTTAGAAGTCAACTAAGTTGTTTTTAAGTCTCTGCTGAATGTAATCGCAGTACAAATACAATTGTTCTGTGAAGGTTTCAGAGATTTGTTAGAGAAAACATACAGAACCACGCAGCACAGAAGACAGGCCAGCTGTGTCTAGATTTTAAAGTAGGGCTAGATCATAGAAAATAATCCAAGCATTGAAAATCTTATCCAGCATTGTTCAAGCTATTAACCAAAATTAAAAAGTAGAACATCAGGTGGTAGAACATGGCCATCCATCCAAATTAAGAGGGGGGGCAAGGGGATCATTAGATAGAGTAGCAGCCAAGAGGACCATGGTAGCTCTGGGTGAGCTGCAGAGGCTCTGGTAGAAATATCTATTGACTTATGCACTCCTGAAAAAACAGACTATTGGTGAGTGGCAAATAGATAGCCACTGGTAAAATAAAACCCTGTTATTAATAACCACCCAGAGGTAATGAATCAAATATAGGTAGGAGCTTTAGTTAAATTGAACAGATACTGCTGTCTTTGGTCCACATTGAAATGAAACAATTGTGAAACATCATCTGAACTCAACATCTCTATGGTAAAACATAGCAGCAGCATCATGCAAAAAAGTGGCTAAACAGAAATGCATGTTTCACTTTTAACATTTATAGATGTTAAAACAACAAAGCATCTAAACCAAATGAAGAGAAAACATAGGTCTTCCAAGGAGTCATTAAAATCCCTCATACGTTTATATGTATATATTGTACGAACAATTGTAGGAAGAATAAAAACAATAAAATTAGTAAATAGATTTATAATTATCCACTTTGAAAACTTAAAACTGCTGGATAGATCCCCACAGGTGAAAAGAGGACAAAACAAACAACCATGCAGCCCCAAACTTTCCATTCTTCTTCTCT